CTCAAAAACGACGATCACCTCCTTGTTCTCCAAAATAATGGAATCCATTATTAACTGCCAGCTCATGCGGTACCTTGAGGTTCACCAGCTGATTAGTGACCGCCAATACGGTTTTCGTCGGGGTCGATCAGCTGGTGATCTTCTGGTCTACCTGAAACATAGATGGGCGGAGGCAGAAGAGTCCAAGGGGGAGGCGTTGGCCGTTAGTTTGGACATTGCGAAGGCCTTCGAAGGGGTTTGGCACAAAGCGCTTCTTTCGAAGCTCCCTTCCTATGGGCTTCCCGAGAAATTGTGCAATTGGATCACCAGCTTCCTTGCAGATCGGAACATCAAGGTCATTGTAGACGGTGCATGCTCCGACTACAAACCTATTAACGCTGGTGTTCCACAAGGCTGTGTGTTATCACCAACGCTGTTTCTTCTGCATATCAATGATATGTTGCTAACTGGTAACATTTATTGCTATGCGGATGACAGCACTGGTGATGCTCTATACACCGGCCGTGCCAATATTTCTCGGGAAAACGTCGCCGAGTACCGGAACAAACTTGTGTCTGAAGTCGAGTCTTTGCTGAACAAAGTCTCGGATTGGGGGCGACTAAATCTAGTCCAGTTTAATCCTCAGAAGACACAAGTTGCGCGTTTACCGCTAAAAAGAACCCCTTTATCGTATCTACTCAGTTTCAAGGCACTCCCCTTCTCGCCTCAGCCAGTATCGGTATCCTCGGAGTCGACATATCGAGTGACGTGCAGTTTCGTGGTCACTTGGAAGAGAAGGCCAAATTGGCCTCTAAAAAGCTTGGCGTGCTCAGCAGAGCGGGACAGTATTTCATGCCGGCACACCGCCTGCAACTTTACAAGGCGCAGGTTCGGCCTTACATGGAATACTGTTCCCATCTCTAGGCAGGGTCTTCCCAGTGCCAGCTCCTTCCACTTGACCGCATCCAGCGCAGAGCGGCTCGAATTGTCGACGACCGAGTCCTTTCCGATCGGCTCGATTCATTGGCACTGCGAAGAGATGTTGCATCTCTTTGCATATTCTTTCGCATCTACCATGGGGATTGCACTGAGGAATTGTTCGGATTAATCCCAGCCGCCAAATTTCACGAACGCACATCGCGGCAGAACTCCCGATACCATCCACACCATCTGGATGATTGGCGGTCCACCACTGTGCGATTTAGAAGATGTTTCTTCCTCGCACGACTTCCTTGTGGAATCGATTACCATCAGCGATTTTTCCGGACCGATACGTTTTAGGGACCTTCAAGAAAAGAGCGTACTCCTTTTTAAAAGGCCGGCAACGCATCTGCAATTCCCTCCTTGGTGTTGCAGTTTTTCGTGGGCGGCGGTAGTCACTAACCATCAGGTGAGCCGCATGCTCGTTTGCCCCCTGTCCTATAAAAAAAAGAGCGACAAACGATCACACAGTCCACCTGATGGTATGTAGATGCTGTGAACCATAGACATCCACATCTATCCTCGATCACGAATCAAAATTTATATGCGTTGTCACCCCTGAGGACTAAGATGGAATACCTCGTTACCAGTAAAAAGGATCTCCTGTTCTTTATAACGAACATACGAATACTACCGCGGGTAATTCACTAGACGAACATGCCCGCGGGCATGTCGCCGCAATACACTACACAGACTCATCAGTTTGTTTTATGTCTGTGCCCGCGCAGACAAAATGGGATCGCGCGGACGTTCAACAGGCAAGTCTGCCACACCGACTGTGACGGTCCTACACTATCAAACTTTGCACAGACCCATAGTAGCGAAGTCCAGCAGGCATGTCTACATACATGCCCGCGAGCATGTCCGTCAAGTGAATTCCTCGCTTACGGCATTGAGCTGCTATTTTACGCTAGTCGTACTCCGCCGAGCCGAGTCATTCGTGCTACAGCTATATAGATATAGTAGCAGCGTGGCTCTACCACGTATAAACTAGATTGATGAAGATGTTTAAAAAATTTTACTTCAAGTGGGGTTTTTTTTAATTCTTTTTAGCTCTTTGAAGGCGGGTTTACAATTAATACCTTGTAATGAAGTTAATGAAGTATTTTGTAGAAGTTATAGCTCACCCCACCACCAGTCTTCAATGGGAGTTTCGTAAGAATCGACTAAGGGAAGTAATAATTTAGTTTTGTACGTGCTAGAGCCATGCTTCAGTTTATTATAGCTGCAACATGAATGGCTCGGCTCGACTGGTAATGAACATGCTCGTACAGAATACCAGCAGCATTACACTGCTATTTCATTTATGTGGTAGAGCCATGCTGCAGATATATTAGTAGTAGGTAGGTATAGTTGTAGCACGATTGGGTCGGCTCGACCGGGGAAGGACCACGCTTTAACAGAATACCAGTGTAAAATAGCAGCTTAACGCTGCTGTGTTTCGTATGGTGAGTGTAGAGAACCGGAGACCTTTTTTACTGGAAACGAGGCATTACATCTTAGTCCTCACGGGTGACAACGCATCTGCATTTTGGTTCGTAATCGAGAATAGATGTAGATGTCTATGGACCGCAGCAACCACTTACCATCAGGTGGACTGTGTGCTCGTTTGTCACACTTTTTGTATAAAAATGTAATGCTAATTATTATTAAATTATTTAAACACAGCTGCATTATCGATTAATGTTGCTGTGTTTATTTTACGTTTGGTGAGTGTAGAAACCCAGAAATCCTTTTTACTGGCACACATTTGCAATTCGATTCTCCATCGGGGATAAATGTCGAAGTTTATGTACCACAGTATCCACTTACCATGAGGTGGATTGTGTGCTCATTTATCACCCTAATTCTACAAAAAGAATATGCTGTGTTTCATATTGTAAATATAAGGAACCGGAAATCCCTTTAAATGGTTTCGAGACATTCCATTTTAGTCCTTAGTGGTAACAAAATATCTGCATTTTGATTCTTAATCGAAGATAAATGTCGATTTCTATGGACCACAGCCCGCAGCGTCCATTTTCCATCAGGTGGACTGGACTATGTACACACTTGTCACCCTTAGAATTCTTCGGGATTTCGTGTGCTGATGTAAAAGATATCATTACCTTAAGAATGGAAAGGAAAATAATATTATTTTGGACAGTTACTCAGAAGTTTTACCTAGATTCAAAAATGTTATGAAATGTGGAAGGAATACCTTAACAAGAGGTCACTAGAAAAAGAAATATGGTACAAAACAATACAGTGTCAGCCTCTTCATGTACCCTGGTTCATGTATATTAGTTTAAGTAGGAAATAAGTTACTATACTGCTCATAGACTCAGATCTGGACACGTTTCACTTGACAAATTTGTCTACTTGATGAGAAAAGCAACTTCGCCCAATTGTGAAGACTGGGTGTTATAGAAGACCTACGCAATTTATTGATGGAATGTGTTCGATTTGAGTCTGTTAGAAGTAATTTAATAAGGGTCTTGAATTTGAACAGAACTGACGTAGGCACATATCATGATATTATATCCCAACCAAATGGTGATCATGCAAAAGTTCTGTTCGAATCCATGGCCCACGTGGTATAGTAATTAATATTATATGAGTTAGTGATGTATGTTAGGGTATGATGGGACTCACATACTCTAAGCGGTAAATATCCCTTAAATGCTTGTAGAATAAAAAAAAGATATCACTACCCTATTTAGTCCTGTGGGCGAAGTCCAGAACAGAAAGACCTTACTCAGCCTTACGAAAGTAAATTAGCCAGCATCTCAAGTGCAATAGATTACATCTGGTACTGAGATCGCCAATCCGGTACACCCTATTCCTCGTACAAGGAAAAGGGTTTTCTTTTTTATAGCATGAGGGTGACAAACAAGCATACAGTCCACTTGATGGTAAGTGGATGCTGTGGTCCATAGGCATCTACATTTATCCTCAATGAAGAATAAAATACAGATGCGTTATCACCTCTGAGGACTAAGATGGAATATCTCGTGACCAGTTTAAAATGTATCCTTACTCTTCCTTAATCAGTTGAAGATACGAGTATCTTGTTTGTTTGTTGTTTTCATCAAGGCGATTACAGATCAAGTGGTTTCGGGGTTAAATCCCTGGTCGGGCCAAAATCAGTTATTTAGTTATTTCTGTCAAGAAATACTCAGCAGAAGCCAGAATAAGAAAATTGGAGTTATTACGCTCGGAAAGCACTTGCGATATTTAAAAAAAAATAATAATGTCCTCCAGACCGAATTTCGGTCACAGCGGCCGGTCGGAACGGAGACTGGCCATCACAGGATTGGATTATAGTGCTAGAGTGTATGCGCATGCACAAGTGCACTCTCTATTCCCTCACTCTCATAGTCTGATAGGACGGTAATTCCGAGATTCGAACCCGGGACCTCATGATTAGCAGCCGCGTGTGCGACCACTAGACTTATAAGGCATTCCAAAAACTATATTCATTTTTTTATTGTATAGGGTGACAAACGAGCATACATTCCACCTGATGGTAAGTGGCTGCTGTGGCCCATAGACATCTACATTTCTCCTCGTTTGCGAATCAAAATGCAGATACATTGCCACCCGTGAGGACTAAGATGGAATGCCTCGTTTCCAGTAAAAAGGGTCTCCGGTTCTCTACACTCAGCATACAAAACACAGCAGTGTTAAGCTGCTATTTGACGCTGGTATTCTGTGAGCGCGTGGTCCTTCCCCGGTCGAGCGGACCCATTCGTGCTACAACTATACTACTAATGTAGCTCTGCAGCATGGCTCTACCACGTATAACATTATTTAATAGTAAAAAAACAATATAAGAAATATCAAAAAGAAAACAACAATAAAATAACAAATATTTTCAAAATAATTAAGAACAGATTTTTCAATCGTCCGGTAAAAGTTAGTTATGGAATAAACTACAATATAAACAAATTAAAAATGATAATTTTGTAATAATATAATAACACAATTGCTTCACTTTTATAATCATTCAGGTTATAATTTATTTAAATTTTATAAAATAAATTGACCATAATACTCACAATAAATCGTTGCATTTTGTTTGAAAATAGCCACACTGCAATAACGGTATCGATGTATAACACGACAGAACTGTCAAATAGAATTCGCGACACTGCAGCTTCGAGGCGCGCTCCACCAGCGAATGACGCGATTCAACTGGTGCGCATCCACGGTCCACGCCACCACGAGCTAAGTCACGGTCGGAAGTTGTTTATGATAATTCAAGTTTATAGTTTCGTAACAGCGAAAAAAGTAGAGTGGAAAACGATGTTAAATTTATGGTAACAATTTAAACAATGATCTTGGTGGTTGCCGCGCAAGATCATTCACTACAATAGATCATTCGATGGGTTTCGTAGGGACAGAGGAAAACATAATAGGATATAGGCAGCACAGTATCTTCCTGATTACAACTCAACAGAAAACTGCGGTGACAAATCTGCCTGTGCCATGCGTGACGTATTGACAACCTATGGCGAGGCCTGTGGACTAAGATGTAACTGTTGTTATTTTAGTTTTTTAAATGTAATTATCTACCCAGAAGGACTATTAGGCAGAAAAGTTGTCCTACCACCAGGGTTGCCACCTTTTTTTTGAACAAATATACTATTTTCCCAAATACAATGCACAAATATAGTTATAAGTATAGTTAATTTATTCTTAATATTTATGTATTTTTCCATATATATTATTTGTTATTGCTCTTCGCTTTGGCCATCAATGATCTACATTTAAAATAATTATAAGAATCTGAGCAATTTAGATTCATATTAAAATAAATTCATTTTTAATTCAATTAATACATGCTCTATTTCTTTCTTCTTTCCATTTTACATTTACTTCCGTAAAACTTACTTGTTCCAGACTTCCAACCACAGTCAATTTTCTTTAATATATAGTACAATTGACTAAAATATAGTACGACAATTTATATATTATACTACTAACCACCTGCATTTAATGCATTCTATACATCGTCTACGAAGTAAAATAGTTTTACATTGTTTTTATTCACTTATAGATCATAAGTAAGGGGGAAATGGCAATGGACCGGCCATATAGCTTGAAGAACCGACAACCGATGGGGAAAAATGGTTGTGCAAGCATTCGATGGATGCAGAGGGTTCAGGGCCATACCTTGTGGCGATCTATGAGGGATGTAGTTATAGTGTTAGTAATAATAATAAATAATCTCATAATAAGAATTTAGATATTATTAAAAAAATAAATATCAATGGACATGTTGTCGTTTCAGCTTAGATTAATGATAAGTCATCGCGCGGTCAGAGCGCGCGATGACTTATCATTAATCTAATGGTGGCCACTCACGGTCAGTTAAACTGAACAGTTTAACTGATGTACATCCAAAAACTGACCGTGAATGCGAAATCTTAAGTTGAAATTTTTAACTGAAGGCAACACACGGATTTTTTCGGGCGCGCTGTCAGTTAAACTGCTCAGTCGAACTGAAGTACATCCAAAAACTGATCGTGAATGTGAAATCTTAAGTTAAAATTTTTAACTGACGGCAACCCACGTATTTTTCCGGGCGCACCGTAATCCGCTGGCTTCAGTTCGTTTCCATTATTGGTAAGTACATACTTTCTTAGCAGCTACTTACATTATTTGTATGCTGTTTAGATTTTATATTATTTTACATATTTAGAGAAGTTGTTTTGACGGAGAATGGAGACCAAGGTGATTGTAATGATGTCGCCTTTCTTATGGTGGACTCAGAAGATGGGTAAAGGATCTCAGTGATGCTACTACGTAGAACTATCGTGTTTGGACTCATTTTCAAATAGGTAAACGGAGACCTAGATGATTGTGATGATATCACCTTTATGTTGGTGCAATCCGAAGGTGGTATAGGATCTCAGTGATGACACTAGATAGAATGATCGCGTTTGAACTCATTTGAATGGGCTCATAAAGACCTAGGTGACTTTTATAACCTCACCTCTCTGATGGTGCAATCCGAAGGTGGGTATAGGATCTCAGTGACGGCACTAGATGAACGATCGTGTTTGAACACATTTGAAAGGGCTTATAAAGACCTAGGTGACTTTTATAACCTCACCTCTTTGATGGTGCAATCCGAAGGTGGACGGCACTAAGTAGAATGATCGTGTTTGAACTCATTTGAAAAGGGTTTATAAAGACCTAGTTCAATGTGATTCTAATACCTTCATGATGGTGAACTAAGAAGGTGGGGCAAAAGATAAAAATAAATAATACATTTATTAAAAAAATAAAATTTACCATAATGAATAAAATTATCATAATATCAGACCCATTTCTTAAAAGTGTCTTAATACTGACCTTATCATGAATAAAAATATCTTTTGAAGTGTTAATATATATATATATATATATATATATATATATATATATATATATATATATATATATATATATATATATATATATATATATATATATATATATATATATATATATATACGGAACGGATTTCATTTCTCGATCGACGGGGCCGCTGCCGTGCGCGTTTAGTTGGCGTGACTCCTATAAATTAAAAATATCATTTCCTATCTATTAACTAGCTGTTTCCCGCAACTTCGCCCGCGTGTAATTTATTACGATTGGATTTCATGGGTTTTAATGTTTTTGCGCGGAACCCTAATTCTTTTTCTAAATTAAAAGTAGCCTAAGTTCCTCCTTATAATATCAGCTATCTGCCACTGAACGTCTCGTCAAAATTGGTTCAGCCGATTCGGAGATTAGCCGGGATATATAGACAGACAGACAGAAAGACAGACAAAAATTTTAAAAATTGTGTTTTTGTTATAAGTACCGTATGTACTTTCATATGTATTTAGTAAAAACTGTTATTTTGACAATACAAATGATTTAAAATAAGATTTAGATATTATTAAATATCATTTAATTTATCTATATATATGATATTTTATAGGAGTCACACAAACCAAACGCCCACGGCCACGCCCCACGTTTGAACTAGGGCTGTTGACAAAATATCGATATATCGAAAAATCTATTTTATTATTTAGAAAAATCGATATTTATTTCTAATATTTTTGGATGACATATATTGTAATATAACTTTGATATTGAAATATACATATAAGACAGTCGATATATTTTTTCAAATATTTTAATATTTTATTTTTTCACGTAAATAATTTAATCTACAACACCATCGTAAACTTAAATCCTAATCCTTGATGGACCCAATCTACTATACTTTATTTACACTATATTATGTTTTTCATTTTTCCCCAGTTTTTTATTTGCTTATTATCTTAAAAAGAAATGTAATCTTGTATAGTATATCTCTGTGATATTAAAATCACTATAATTTATTAAACTTAGTACTACTTTACTTACTGTGAGTTTTGGCAGGAGCTTGATCATCGACGGATAGTTGCTCCTGTATTATCGTTTAAATAATCGTTTGAAGTGGATTTTTATCAAAGTGATGCGATTATGTGTATTAAGTGTCTGCGCATGTAAGCTATTAGAGAAAACGACGAAATAAGTACTTCGATGTTGGTATAAGCCTCAAGTTATTTTAATCGCTTAGGCGCCTTATGATTTACTTCCGTGCTATCAGAAATAGCTGTTAAATATTTTATTTCTTCAGCTGCATCCGTAGCATCTGAATGAATTATTTCTATAATCAATCTTTTAGTGCCTAATAATCGCAGTATTGAAACAGCTGAACATATAAAACAACGATTATTTTTGAAAACTCTTACTGAAAAATATTGGTAAACATAATTGTCTTATTTAAATTAAACAATAATTACTAAGAACTAGTTACTAAGAACTTTGAGCCGTGTAACTCAGATGGCGCCCGCTGTAAATTTGACAGTACGTGAGCAACCCGAGTTCGATCCTCGCCGGAACCAATGAATTGCAATTTTAAGTGCTGATTTACCGCGTACTCAGGGGTGAAGAAAAACATCGTGAGGAAACCTGCATAGCTGAGAAATAAGAAAAAAATATTTCGAAGACATGTGAAGGTCGCCAACACGCATCGGGGTAGCGCGGTGGATACTTCCTTGCCCTAAAACCCTCTTAGAAATGAGGGGAGGCCTGTGCCCAGCAGTGGGTCTTATGTAGGCTGTAACTTTAACTAAGAACTATAATCTAACATTTTAATATAGTTATAATTTAATTTGCTTAATAAATATAATAAACGAACTAAAGTAAATTACTTACGATTGGATTTTTTTTTAAATAAAGTCGATATGTCGATATTTTTTTCGATATATTGGAAATCCGATATTTTAAAAATATAAACAGCCCTAGTTTGAACTGATCAGTTGGAATGATCAGTTGAACTGATCGTGTGTGTCGAAATTATTTTGGATTAAATCCGTTTGAAGTCATCAGTTGAACTGATGTCAGTTTAACTGACCGTGAGTGGGGACCATAAGCGTTTCAGGTTAAAGTATAAGACGCCCTAAACCAAAACTATATCTGTTATAAATTTCGATTTTTTTATGTTATGATAATATTATTTTCATATTTTTTTTTAAAAATGAAACTTTGGAATATTTTTATAAAATTGAAGTTTTGGAACTGATTTACAGTCGATATGATAGTTGCTGTAGTCCATAGACTTCTGTAGCCATCTTCAAGCATAAAGGCTACAGTTGCGTTGTGACCTCTGAGGACTAAGATGGAATACCCCACGGCCTGTTATTATAGTGGCTGATTATACAGGTTCAGACCGGAACACAGCAGTAGAAGCTGCTATTTAGTGCCAGAAACAGGTCGGAGAGTGGTTCCTACCCCGACGGACCCTTGGGCACAAAAGGAGTTCTACCTCCAGTATATATTTTAAAAGAGACAAGCCAATCTAAGCCGTGATAGCTCAAAGGGTTGGCGCTCGCGGTAAATTTACATTTTCACAGTACGCGAGCAACCCGGGTTCGATCCCCGCCGGCACCAATAAAATTGTTAATTGAAATTATAAGTGCTGATTTACCACGTGCTTGGCGGTGAAGGAAAACATCTTGAGGAAACCTACATGTCTGAGAAATAA